GACAGACAGACAGACAGACAGACAGACAGACAGACAGACAGACAGACAGACAGAGAGACAGAGAGATAGAGAGATAGAGAGATAGAGAGACAGAGAGACAGAGAGACAGAGAGACAGAGAGGCAGAGAGGCAGAGAGAAAGCGAGAGAGGCGGAGAGCGTAAGTGGATGTCCGTCTCTGTTTGTGTGCGTGCGCGGCTGTTGTGACAGCACGGACGTACCTTGGCAGCACTCCACCGAAGCATCCTGCAACCAACCCAGCAACCTCAGAGGTCAGTGGTCTGGCGATGTCGGAGCTCATCATCGACGGACAAGCTTCTTGTGCCTTGGTCCTGGAGGTGTGCTTACGTTTTAGGGTTTTTTTTGGGGGGGGGTTAGGGTTTTAGGGTTTAGGTGTGCCTTTTCTGACCACTTCCTTGCTGAACCAACCAACATCGCCAAAAGTATGGCAGTCTCTCGTGCAGTTCTATGGCATTTCGGCCACTGGGAATAACCCGGCCTCTGCTGGACACTTCCTATAATCTATTGGTTGATAATAGCGCTAATGACCGTAGTAAGAGTAAGAGTGAAAGTAATAGAAATAGCGATAGTCATAGTAACAGTAATAGTAACATTAGCTAATCATCATCAGGATCAAGGCTTCTCAAGGCACACAGGAAGTAAGCTGCCGTCTTCTATGAACTCAACAACCCACTGTAAACTCTATAATCCCGGGCCCTTCAATGTACCCGAAAAAACAGGCCCTGAGCAGCTTAACAGAAGGACCGACTTCAGATGAAGGCACTGCAGAGATGGGAGATGCCACAATTTTTTTTTCTGTCCAGCTTTGGGGAAGGTTTTGGGCTCTGGGTTTAGACGTTTGGTTGAGGGTTTAGGGGTTTAGGGTTTAGGGGTTTAGGGTTTAGGGTTTATGGTTTAGGGTTGGGGGGGGTTGGGGCATGCTGCAGCCATGAGGCCGAGCGCAAGATAGCCTGTAGCGCTACGGTGCTGCACAGTTTTGTGTACTAGGGTTTAGGGTTTAGGGTTTAGTACGCGACAGAATAGTCGATAATGGCATTATTATCACAGCAGCCAGAGCGAAAGCTTCGTGTGGATACGTGCTTCAGTTCTCCACAAGTTTGAAACCCTGAAAACCAAGCCTAAAAAACCTGAAACCCAGATCCATCCAGACCTCTATAGGCACCCTAATTCCGAAAGCCTAAATACCGAAACCCCTATATACGTCCCAAGCCCCGAGACCAAACTAAAGCCATCCAAGCACCCTTCGAAAGCATAGCGCCGCTCCACGAACCAGCAAGGAACACAAACATGAACACTAGCCCAAACTCCTAAGCCCTCAACCCCAAACCCTAAACCTTAAACCCCAAACCCCAAACCTTAAACCCTAAACCTTAAACCCCAAACCTCAAACCTTAAACCCTAAACCTTAAACCCCAAACCCCAAACCAAAAGCTCCTTAGACCCGAAACCCCAACCCCTAAGCACAAAGCATCGAAGCCAAGGTGTGGATTTAAGGCACTTCCGACCCAGCCGCTTCGCAAATGCTGGCCCGAGAGCCCCTCAGAGGGGGAGGACGCTGGGCTCATATATTCTTTGGGGTTAGGGCTTCTAGGGTTTAGGGTTTAGGATTGTGGTTTAGGTTTTAGGGTTTAGGGTTTAGGGTTTAGGATTGGGATTGTAGGGTTTGATTCGGGTTTAGGGTTTAGGGTTCGGGCTTGTAGGGTTGGGGGTTTAGGGGTTTAGGGTATAGGGTTTAGGAACTTGAGTTTCGGCAGTCGGGTTGAGGGTCTTGGGGGAATTGCCCCTTGGAGACTGGAGTGAGAAAGAAAGGACCGATGATGCGCATGATGCTTTGGGGCTCCTTCTTGCGCTAGCAGGCTATAATGCTCTTCCTTGTTCTGGCCGACTCTAGCCCGGTCCTATGTCGAGTACCAGTACATTCTTACCAATTTGTCAAGGCGGATCTGCCGATCACACATGGGGTTTAAAGCCTACAGAGTGCTTCAAGGCGGACATCCCTTTTGGATGTTAGCATCGAGGGTTGAGAAGAGAAAGCTGCATGCGGGTGTCAAAGCTTTAGAAGTGCGACCGCCGTTGCTTTGCAGAAGTACGGCTGCAGTTGCCTCGTTGCTAAGCACGCGCTAGCTGAGGTGGAGGGTTGCCACTTCGATGAGGCAGCTTAAGCCCACGGCCCCTGACACACCCCCCTCGCAGAACCTAAACCGCAATCTATTTTCTTTCCGAGAGCCAAGGAAGATGGGAACCGTTCCCGTGGGTGAGCAGTGGTAGCGCTCCACGGCTGGAATGAGTGACAGAAGTAACCCTCCCTGCTAGCGGGTATTTAGGTTCCAAGCGTATAATTGAGGGTAGATGGAGGGTCTGGAGGCACAAGGCCACATAACCCCAAAACTTTGGTCAAGTAGTGACAAAAATCACTAGGACACATCCACACCCGCACACACACAACACATTCCCAAGTTCATGTGTAAGGTTATTTCACCTGGCAAACCAGACTTCTGCACGTTCAAACAGGGGCTTCTGGCCCCTTGCCATTTGGCTGAGCTATATCTATTGTCATTGATGCGGAATGCGATTTTCCCGTGCTCTCCGACGCCTGCTCGGAAAAAGAGACGCTGCCTTGTCTCTTTGGCTCGGAGTGGAAGAAACGGCCGTGTTGAAACCAAGAGAGCCGGACAACTAAACAGCTCGCAATGTAGGGGCCTTAATAATTAGAATAGGGTTTGAGTTTGGGTATATTATACTAGAAGTATTATAGCAAGGAACCCCCCTAAACCCTATTCTAGTTATTAAGGTCTCTACATTGTGCACTAGCCCTCGTCGTCGGTGCAGTCGCAATGAGGCTTCAATGCCCACTGACCTGCTTCGCACTTTCTCCGCCAAAAGCGAGAGCCTAAATGGGGGATTGGGATCCCGATCCTCCCTAAACCCCAAACCCTATGTTGGGTTTAGGGTTTGCTGTTTAGGGTTTAGGGTTTAGGGTACTGCAACCTCAAGAGGGACGTGTTGTCTTTCAAATGTCCTGGCCAGGTGCACGTATCCAGTCGCATCTGAAGTGCGTGGTGGCCCGATGCCCGGATGACCATCACTATCTGTATCATGGATTCAGGGCTTGCGGGCTCAGTACAACATACAGCAGGGTTTATGTACCGTCACCGTCGTTCTGTGGTTTATGGGTTTAGACTTAATTATGTTAGTTATGTGGGCGGTTGTCAAAATTATGGTCCCTTTTTGGGTCCTTATTATTTTAGTACGGCACCTATTATTTATGGTACCCCAAAAGGGACCCTAATTTTGACAACCACCCATGTGTTATGGATGTATGTTTAGGAAGTTACAGGGGGTTTGGGGCTGAGGCTTTGGGGTTTGTAAAAAGAGGGGGTCCCAAGAGTTCTATAGGAAGCGCAAGCGGGTAATGTAAGGGCCTTAATAATTACCTGTACTATTTTGGTGGATCCTTATTACAATAACCCTGGGGCTCCAAATAGCCCAAAGTAGGTACGATTTACAACCTTTAGACCCCAAAGTAGGTACTGTTTGAATACTTGGAGCTCTAGGGTAATAGTATAATATATCGCAATGGCTAATTATTAAGGCCCCTATACTAAACCTCAATCCACCATTGTCCACTCGAGCCTTCACAAGAGTCTTCTTGTAATCCCCAAGCTCTAAAGCCTAAAACACAGGCAAGACCCCTGACCCTTAAATAAGCAACAAATGTAGGGGCCTTAATAATTACCTATACTATTTTGCCGGGTTCCTTAATTATACTTACACCAGAAGGAGCCCCAAAACCCTCTTCTAATCATTAAGGCCCTTACATAAGTAGTGTGCTATGACCTAAACCCTAAACCCTAAACCCTAAACCCTAAACCCAATCCTCGGGAGCTGCGGTCTCTCCTTTGCGAGGTGCAGGCTGCCGAGCTGCTGCAGCTAAGGCAAGTGCGGCGTGGATGTGCCCCCCAATACCTGTAGGGGGGTTCCTGGCTCCATTTAAGGGCTCCTTTTTGCGGGGGTATGGGGTTCCTGGCTCCATTTAAGGGCTCCTTTTTTTTGGGGGGGGGCGGGGGGGGTAGACGGTCCAAATAGAAGCGACGTAGGTTCTAGTAGAGGGTAGATGGAGGGACCCTGACTGAGATTTGGGTTTAGGGTGGTTCGAATGGTGTTTGGGATTGAGGGCACGAGGGCTTGATCGCGAGTCCGGTAAGTTGTTGCATTGCGTTCACAAAGGAACCAAGCCAGGTCTGGACACCCCCCTCAACCTTAAACCCTAAACCCTATACCTTACACCCTAAACCCTAAACCTTCAACCCTAAACCCTAAACCTTAAACCTTAAACCCTAAACCTTGAACACAAGACCCTAAATCCTAAACCCTACAGGGCCTCCGCTCGGATGACGCAGCAGTGGATCCTAAACCGCCGGATTTCAAGTGCCGTTGAACCAAACGTTCTAAGACGGCGGCCTGATTATTAGTCCCAATATTATTTTGGGCCTCCTTGTTATAATTATTGTGCAACTCATACTATTTTGGGCCAATTTTGGGGGTTCCTAGTTATAACTGTAGTATAATTATACTATATTACTATATTGGGGTTCCTGGTTTTTATTATAGTATACTAAATATTTCTGGGTGTTCGTTATTATACTTATAGTATGGCTTATACTATTTGGGTGGTCCTTCTTATGACTGTAATATAATATACCTCTCTACCGGCCCGATTTGGAAAACCCGCATGAAATGCTAAGCTCCTGAACTCTACTCCCCTCTAGAGTTCAGGGTTTGGGGTTTCGGAACCCGAAACCGTAAATCCCAATCTGCAAAGCCTTACAACGGTTTAGGGTTTAGGGTTTAGGGTTAAGCCTTGCAAAGGCCCACCCCTTCAAACAGATACCTAGACCCTATAGAGTGTAGCACCTTTCCGTTGATAACCCATTTGATGCTTGTCAGGATCCGCGAGCAACAAACAAAGCGAACCCCCAAGGAAGGCGCTACAGGCCAAGGGCCGACGCCAATTC